AAGATCATTCTTGACAAATCTCGAGGAATATGGGAGGGAAAATTTTGGGGTACAACATGTTGTAATTTTGATTTCCTGAAGCATAGGTTTATATTTTTTCAAATATTTTCCATTTATCCTCAGGATTATTCGATCCTATGCTAATTCCTTGATTTCATAAGCATTATTCGAGAATAGTTGAATAATTTGAAACAGGCGTTCCCAATTGAGAGACCATTTGCCTAATGTTTTATCTTTTCGATCCATTAGTAGAATTACTTTCCACACCAAATCTCCAATCGAAAACATCTTGACTTTAACCCTTTTATTATATGCTTTCGCTACTCGCTCTTTCTGCCTTCTCAATATTTCTAAGGCATTTAATCTCTCTTCATCCAATTCCACAAGCTCAGCCATCATCATTTTCCAATAAGACTCGGATGGGATTTCGCTCTTTCTTTGAATTCGGACTGATTGTAGATATATTTTGACTGGAAATACTGCATCATGCCCATAGGTCATTCAAAAAGGTGTAGTATTGATGACTTCCTTGGGGGATGTTTGACAAGCCCATAAAATATGGTCTAAAGTATTATGCAAATTTTTTTGCTTCTTACCCACATGTCTTTTTATTAAACCAATAGCTACCTGATTTGGTGCTTCGACTTGACAGTTTTCCTGAGCATAGTAAGGCGTAGAAGTCAATAATTTAAATCCCACTTCTTTGGCAAATTCTTGCATTTTTCGACCAGTAAACACTGATCCTTGATCAGTCGTAATGGTCTCAGATTCCAAATTTATAAATTATATGTTTTTGGATGAATTTAATGACCGCCTCTTGCTCAACATTCACCAAAGGTATAGCCTCGATCCTTTTAGTGAAGTAGTCACTACCCACTAAAATGTATATTTGACCTTTGGAAGACGTTGGTCGAATATCTCTAACTAGATCTAAAGCCCAACCTCTAAAGGGCTAAGGTTTTACTATGGAATGTAGTTCGCTTGTAGGAACATGTTGAACGCCTGAATGCACCTGGCACTCTTGGCAACCTTTGGTGAACTCTACACAATCCTCGTCGAAATAATAGCCACTTCATTTTATGCCCAATTTGATCTCATTATGCACGTTTGACAAATCTATGTAAGCTTCACTTTTGCCAAGGCATTTGAGCAAAACTCCTTTGTGTGTCTTCTTAAACAATTCATTTCCCATAAGAGTATAACTTAAAGCATCGTACCTGATCTTTCGCTCTGCAGATATTGTAGGATTGTCCAAATAATCAACTATTGGATTTCTCCAGTCTAAGTCTTCCAGATTATCAATAACATAAATTTTGAAATTTTCTTCGTCTACGTAGCCTAACTTCGTCATCTCCAAATCTGCTGGAGATGACCTAGTTGTCATTACTCTTCCTCGAACTTCGATTAGATCTCCTAAATTTTCCATCGACACCTTGTATCCATAATCAATTTGAGCCAAGTCATAAGCCTCTTGATTCTTGAGTCAAGGAACATGTCTAATGTTCACATATTTAAATTTTTGTAGCAATCTATTTGTTATAACGAAATACATCATCAGATTTTCCTTGACACATTTATGCTCCCTAGTTATTTACTTGACAACCAGTTCAGAGTCACCATTTATTTCGATTCTAGTTGCCCCCAATTCCAACAAGATTTCAAATCCAACTATCAAAGCTTCATACTTAGCCTCATTATTGGAACAAAATCCATATATCTTGTACTTGAATTTTGTTGCAATTTTGTTAGGATAAACTATAAAAACTCCAACCCATGTGCCTTCTCTATGACTAGAACTATCGAAATATAATTTCCAAGGTTCAAGTTCAACGAATTTTTGGGGAATTTCGACCACAACATGGCCGACTATAAAATTTGCAACTACTTGTTCTTTCCTAACTTTTAAAGGCATGTAAGTCAAAGAATACTCAGTTAGAGCAAGTGCTCATTTCCCAATTCGACTATGCAAAATTGGCTTAGAAAGCATATGTTTTATCATATCAAAATGAGACAAGACATAATGTCAACTGAATTTATATAATGCTTCAATTTAGTACAAGAGAAGTACAGACACAAGCACAACTTTTCAACCATACTATATCTAGTTTCTTCATCATTAAGAACTCGACTAAAGATGATAAATGGATCTTTTGATTCCATTTTCATCCTTTTGAACCAGCATGCTCCCTATAGTGACATCAGACGCAGAAATATACAACCTCATACTTTTACTTCTATAAGGAGGTGATAGAATTGGAGGATGAACGAGATAATCTTTAATCTTGTCGAATGCTTCCTACTGCATTTCCCCCCAATCAAAACCTTCTTTATTCAGTTGAAGAAGAGGTGAAAAGGCTTGAGTCTTTCCACTTAGATTTCATATGAACCTCTTTAAGAAGTTAATCTTCCCTAGCAGAGACTGCAATTCCTTCTTTGTTGATGGAGTTTACACCTCCATGACGACCTTGGTCTTATTCTGGTTGATTTCAATTCCTTATTTATAGACCATAAAGCCTAGAAAATCCCCTGCCTGCACACAAAAAACACACTTAAGAGGATTCATCTTTAGACCATGCTTTCACAACCTTTTGAATGATTGTCGAAGATGGTCTATGTGACTTTTCCCTGATGCAGACTTAACAACAATACCATCAATGTAAATCTACATGAAAGTCTCAATGAAATCGTGAAAAATAGAGTTCATTGCTCTTTGATAAATTGTCCCAATATTTTTCAAACCAAAGGGCATGACTATCCATTCATAGGTGTTTAAGGCTCTTATGCATCAAAATGTTATTTTAAGGAAATCTTCTTCAGCAATAAATATTTGATTATATCTAGAGTATCCGTCGAGCATACTAAGATACTCAAAACCTGCGGCCGAATCGATCAGCATTATGCCACTGGCATTGGGTACTCATACTTTGGGTTCGCATCATTAAAATCTCAAAAATCTATGTATACCCTCAAAGTTCCATTCTTTTTAATAACAAGAACAATGTTAGCAATCCATTCAACATACCTCATTGTGGGATGAACTTACACTTGAGAAGCCTTTCGATTTCTACTTTGATCTTCGACATGATTTGAGGTGTAAAGCGCCTTGAACCATTATCAAAAAGGAAGTACGTTAGAAGAATGGTAAATCCACCACGTAATAATGGAGAATAACCCCCCTTCGATAGGGGAAAATACAGCCACAACAAATATGATTGAAGCAATACCCTCTATAATGAGTACGATGGTTATACCGTCGAACGCTCAAAGTGGACCAACATTGTCTCCTGTAAGAAGACAGGTCAACCGGTGACCCCAAGACCAGTGGGGACAAGTGTTTTCAAGCCTTATGCGCCTGGATTTACAATGCCTATGAATGATCGCGAACAACCCTATGGCATTGACAACTTTAGTGATGGCAAGTTTCCAAAATAGTGTACCAGTATTTACTGATCCATTAGTGAGTATATATTCGCCATTACAATGGTCGGGATCAGCAGTTAATAACCTGGGTCAAAATGTGCAACCCCTAGGGGCAGGGATTCCTACTCAACCAATGCCCACTTTTACTACGAATTTTGCGACAGTATAAAGACAACAAATAGACGAAAGTAACCATGATATGGTCCATTTGCTTGCCCAATAGATGGGTACAATATCCAATCATCTGATCCAGACAACTACTCAAACTAATCAACAGAGTGCTCAAACCAATCAGCAATTGACAACACACAAGACGTGAATTGCAGATTTTTTTTAGTGCTCTTCAAGCGCCAATTCGACAACCTCGTCGAGAATGGATGGTGAAAAACCAATGGGTGGTCTTATTAGAAAAGGACCCAACAATTAACCATGCCCAACAACTTGTACCCAATATTGTTGAAATCAACCAGGGCCAACGTGTTGAACCTCGTAGGGTCGAACAACTAATACCTAGGGAGAGAGAGGCCCCAAGGGTAGCGATGGTTAATTGAAACCAAGATTCAGACGAAGTTGTTCATCGCGTTCAACAGGACGAATTTGCATAAAAAAAACTATTTGGTTACCATGGTCGAAAGGATAATGGCACGAAATAGGATAAACATAGGCCTTCGCATGCCAAATTATATTTTTCCTTTGTCTGAATATGTTTTACAAACAGAATTACCCAGAAGATAGAAAGTCTCAAAGTTCACAAATACTCAAAGTATCTAAGTGTGATTGAAAAAGGAGTTGTATGAGAAATGTACGTATAAATCACTTTATTTTTACTCAATACCAAATTATTTACTCTAACATAATTTTCATCCATTTACATTTTACGTCAAAATATATTTACATTTATGCACTTTTTATACACTAATTTCTCATTACCTTTAAGATTTCCAATATAGCCGAAATATTTGCTACCAAGAAAACTCAACAAATAGCAGTTGTTTACACAACCGTGAAATTTAGTAAAAAAATGTTACACTCTACTCATTTTTAATCTAACAAGTTAGTTATCATAAAAACAAAACCCAATATAAGATTTATCATAAAAACAAAACCATCATACTAACCCAACAAACAATATTTTTAGTCACTCATTTTTTTCCAACATATTTTCTTTCTCATGATAAATAGATAGTCCTTTAAACAGGTCGGATAGCCCACAAACAGTCTAAAACAAGACTAATATACTTCGAATTCATACTTTATAATATGTTTTTAGACGGACTAATATACTTTGAATTCCATGAGTTCTGTTAGAACCGAGAAGTAGGATAATCCGTTTTGACAGCTAAACTAGCAGGAAAGCTCAACTACTAGGAAGAAAGTTTATTTAATAGTAATAACTTTCAAATTTGAGTTGCCTCAGGAAAAATACTTCGAAATATGTGATCACATTAGCATTTGCTTAGTAATCATAGTATAAACTAACTTTTCCAATGTAAAAAGAAACATTTACAAGTAATAATCCAAACCGACCGTTCAAAAAAAAAAAATCAAACATACGGCAAGCCAGTTAAGTTGTCAGTTTCCTAATAAAAATCATCTTCAAAATCAGAGTCTTCTTCATATTCCTCGACATGATGATCTTCTAACCAAATATTTTCCTCTTCCCAAAGTGGACAAGAACATGTTGCCTTTTTGTCCTTCCACTCAGCTCCACATTTATAGCAAAATTCGTAACTACATCTGCAATCAATTGAAGAACAAGGTAAAACATATATAATGATAATATGAACAAGAAATGAAATTAGCAACAACCCAAATGTTTTAAACATCAATGACTTGGCTTTGCCATTCATGGAAGTCTGTAAACTACTAATGTAAATGAATAGAATATTGTTTTATAGAAAAACTAGACATATTTTCTGTCAAATAAGCTGATAGAAACTGGCACTGAACAGAAATAATTTGGAGAATAGGGATACTTTATTGATGATAATTCTGGTGGACAATCAAAGGACCAGAATAATATGCTTACAATAGTTATAGAAAATAGTGCAGAATATTAGGACACACACCAAGATTCGAGAGCTTGGTTCTCTCCCTCCCAAGTGTCTAACACTCACAACTTCAGGATGATCAGAACACAGTTCTGTTTCCCCTTTTATTTCGCCTAGGTTTTGTAACTGTTCCTAATATTAATTGTTACTCTAGTAATAATAATAACTGCTGCCTTTAGAAATCTGTAACTGCTACAGATGCCATTAACATGACTGCTTATCTGCTGCTATTACTTGACAGCATTTATCTTGCTTTATTGGTGCTCCTTCCTCTTATAAGTATTCTTTATGAGGGGTCTAACAATACTCCCCCCTAAAAGAGACACCTTGTCCTCAAGGTGAAATGAAGGAAATTGCTCTTTGATGACTTCCACAGGCTCCCACGTAGCTTCAAATTCTGGTAGGTCCTGCCATTGAATAAGCACTTCAGCTGAGCCATTAGCATTATTCCGGACAGCCCTTACTGCCGCAGGTGATACTTGGAGTTCTAAATCCTCGGAAAGCATTGGTGGAAGAGGTTGTCGATTGCTTGTTGGAGCCAGGGCTTTCTTTAGTAAGGAAACATGGAAAACTGGATGAATTTTGCTCTCTGGTGGTAAATCCAATTCAAATGCCACCGGTCCTATTTGTTTGATTATTTGATAAGGCCCATAGAACCTAGGACTCAGTTTCTCATTCCTCTTCTTAGCAAGAGACTTCAATCTGTAAGGTTGCAGCTTAAGATAAACCCAATCACCGGTAGAGAGATTTATTGATCTTCTGGACTGATCTGCATAAGTTTTCATCTGAACTTGGGCTTTCACTAAATTAGACTTGAGCTCATGTAACATTTGATCCCTCTCTTGAGTCAACACATTAACTTCTTCCACAACTGAAGGAATGGTAGAGCCTTTGAGTAAATGGGGAGGGTCTCGGCCATAGAGAGCTTTGAAAGGAGACAATTTCAAGGAGCTATTATAGTTGGTGTTGAACCAATATTCAGCCCACCCTAACCACTTTGTCCACTGCTTCGGTTGAGTCCCTGTGAGACACCTCAGATAGGTTTCCAAACACCGGTTTACTACTTCGGTTTGGCCATCAGTTTGAGGATGATATGCGGAACTGAATTTTAACTTGGTACCAGCCATTTTAAACAACTCAGACCAGAAATGGCTGAGAAATATTTTATCCCTATCGGACACAATGGTTGATGGGAAACCATGTAACTTAACCACCTCTTTGGTGAAAATTTCAGCAACATCCTTAGCGGTAAAAGGGTGACTTAAAGCCATGAAATGAGCATATTTGGTAAGACGGTCAACTACCACTAAAATCACATTTTTGCCATGTGCTTTAGGTAACCCTTCTATAAAATCCATTGTAATATCAGCCCACACCTGAGAAGGAATTGGCAGTGGTTGTAGTAGACCAGCAGGAGACAAGGTCTGATATTTGTTCAATTGGCAAACTTCACAAGTGGCAACATATTGTTGAATGTCTTTCCTCATTCCTTCCCAGTATAGAATTGCTGAAATTCTTTTATAAGTTCTGAAAAATCCCGAGTGGCCTCCCGTGGCTGAATCATGGAATTCTTTTAAAAGCTTCGGAATTTTGGAAGACCCTTTTGGTAGCACTAGTCGTCCTTTGAAAAACAACTTCCGATCTCTAAAAGAATATCCCGGGTGAGAGTGGCTATCCTTCAGCAAGTCTTGAATGATTTCTTGCAATTTTTTATCATTTTGAATTTCGGTCTCCCACTCCTCTAATTCGTCAAATTGGACTGTGGATAGAGCTGCATAACTCATCCTTCTAAAGAGTGCATCAGCCACTCTGTTTTGTGTTCCAGGCTTGTATTGAATTTCAAAATCGAATCCCATCAACTTAGAAGTCCACTTGAATTGTTCCTCTCCTAGAACTCTTTGGTCACAAAGAAATTTAAGGCTCTTTTGGTCCGTAAGGATGATGAAATGCCTCCCCATCAAGTAATGTCTCCATTTTTGAATAGCTATCACAATGGCCATCAACTCTCTCTCGTACACTGACTTGGATTGTGCTCTATCCGATAAAGTTTGACTATGAAAAGCCACGGGTCGACCTTCTTGTAATAAAACAGCTCCTAATCCTTTGTTAGATGCATCCGTCTCTATGGTGAAGACTTTGGAGAAGTCTGGGACTGTTAGTATGGGTAATTCAGCCATCAATTTCTTCAGTTGCTCAAAAGCGATTTGGGCTTCGTTGTTCCAACGGAAACAATCTTTTTTCAACAATTGGGTCAACGGTCTTGCTATCTTGCCATAATCCTTCACAAACCTTCTATAATAACCTGTGAGTCCTAAAAATCCTCTTAGTGCTTTGAGATCTTTAGGAATGGGCCACTCCATCATAACAATTAGTTTTTTTGGATCAGCTGCTACTCCTTCCCCTGAAATGATGTGACCTAAATACTCTAATTGAGTTTGGCCAAAAGTGCACTTTTTCAAATTCGCAAATAGTTGGTGCTCCTTCAGTAGCGCTAGAACAGCTTGCAAATGCTTATGATGTTCCTCATTAGATTTGCTGTAGATCAAGATATCATCAAAGAAAACCAAAACAAATCTTCTTAAATATGGTTTCAACATTTCATTCATTAACGATTGAAATGTGGAAGGTGCGTTAGTAAGTCCAAACGGCATAACAACAAACTCATAATGACCCTCATGAGTTCTGAAGGCTGTCTTTGGAATATCATCTTCCTTCATCCTTATTTGATGATAGCCTGATCTTAAATCCAGTTTAGAAAAAATATTTGCTCCCCCTAACTCATCAAGTAGCTCATTAATAATGGGAATAGGGAATTTATCAGGCACAGTAATCTTATTTAGGGCTCTGTAATCTACACAAAAACGCCATCCTCCGTCTTTTTTTTAAACCAGAATAATAGAACTAGAGTAAGGACTTACACTAGGTCTAATGACACCCGATTTTAACATATCATCTACTAACCTCTCAATCTCATTTTTTTGATAATGAGGATACCTGTAAGGCCTGATATTGGGAATATCCGTTCCTTCCTTAAGTACAATAGCATGATCTTGTCTCCTCGACGGTGGCAGCCCCTTTGGTTCTTGGAACACCTCTTCAAATTCGCTTATAACTCCTTCCAGCCAGCTAGGCGGTGAGATTACTGAATGTGTTCCAGCCTTTAACATCTGGTATTCTAAGAGAAAAACTTGCCCTTCATTACGCATGGCCTTTAAAACAGACCTGAAGGATGCTGCTGCCCTCGATAATTCAGACTCTCCTTTCAACACATGATATCGATTACCACATGGAATTTTAATAGTTAAATCCTTGAAGTTTGCTTTTATTTCTCCCAAACTGGATAGCCATTCCATTCCCAAAACCACATCCACTCCACCTAATTCAAAGATGAAGAAATCCTGCTGAATGTCCAACTCTTGCATGCTGAGTTTCAGTTGGGGACACACTCCCTTACAAGAGATTTTTCTCCCATCCCCCACTTCTACATAGTAAGAGGGTGTTTCTTCTACTGCCCATTTCTCTTCTTTAACAAGCACAGAAGAAATAAAATTATGAGAGGCTCCACAATCAATCAATACCACTACTTGCTTGTCGCCAATTCTTCCCCGGAGTTTGATAGACTTCTTGGTAGTAAGACCAGAGATGCTATACATAGACAATTGCAAGGTTTTCACTTCTTTTGCTGATTCTTCCTCCTCTACTTCTTCATCTTCTTCTGATTCAGCCCCCATACCTTCGCCCACCACAATCACCCTTAATTGTTTATTTGCACAGATGTGTCCTGGTCCAAATTTTTCATCACACCTATAGCATAACCCTTTCTTGTACTTCTCTTGCAATTCTGCATCTGTTAACCTCTTAAAACTTCTCCCTTTAGATGAAAGATTTGTTCTAGAGTCACTTGTAGTGCTACCAATTGATGAAGCAGCCTAGTTTTGACTCCTAGAATTCGGTGCCCATGTCACAGTTTTTGTGCTATTATAGGTCCTGAAACCAGATTTACTCCCAGAACTTGTTCCACCATTACTCTTGTTTAGCAAATTATTTTTTTCATCTACACTCTGAGCATAGTCCATTAATTCAGACAATGTCTCAACTGGATGCAATTTCAATTCTGCTCTAATAATTTCTTTAAGTCCATTCAAAAAAATACCTTTCAAATAGGATGGCTCTGTGCATTTTAGCGGACCAGCATACAATTCAAATTGTTCTCGGTATTCCTCCACAGTCCCTGTTTGTTTGAGACTCAACAATAATTCAAAAGGACTTTGAATCATTGCTGGCTGGAACCTTCTTAGTATGGCAGTCCTAAAATCTTCCCAAGTAGGATTTTGCGTTGAGAATTCCCACCATTGATACCATGCCAGTGCCTTGCCTTCCATAGCCACCATCACAGCTTGTAATTTCTCACCGTCACTCATCTTCTTTAAGTCAAAGTAACGTTCCACCCTGTTCAACCAACCATAGGCATCAGTGCCTTCAAAAACAGGTATCTCCAATTTCCTCCATCGTTCTTCGCGTTTTCGAGGATGATTAGTGTGTACAGAAGTTTCGTCATCACTGTCGTTCGGACTCCCCGGTGTTGTTCGCAGTTTGCGACGCATCAGGGCGGTTAATTCTGCTACTTGCTGGCTAGTTTCAACTCTTTCCTTGCGATCATCTTTAAGGATTTTCTCCACCTTTTCCTGCATGGCTAACAACCCTTCCAATCCACGTTCGAGAGTTTCCAATCTGGCCTCCATTTCCCCTCGCGTAGATACCATAAAGCAGTCCCGGAAGGAAACTGCTCTGATACCAGTTGATAGAAACTGGCACTGAACAGAAATAATTTGGAGAATAGGGATACTTTATTGATGATAATTCTGGTGGACAATCAAAGGACCAGAATAATATGCTTACAATAGTTATAGAAAATAGTGCAGAATATTAGGACACACACCAAGATTCGAGAGCTTGGTTCTCTCCCTCCCAAGTGTCTAACACTCACAACTTCAGGATGATCAGAACACAGTTCTGTTTCCCCTTTTATTTCGCCTAGGTTTTGTAACTGTTTCTAATATTAATTGTTACTCTAGTAATAATAATAACTGCTGCCTTTAGAAATCTGTAACTGCTACAGATGTCATTAACATGACTGCTTATCTGCTGCTATTACTTGACAGCATTTATCTTGCTTTATTGGTGCTCCTTCCTCTTATAAGTATTCTTTATGAGGGGTCTAACATAAGCTTACCTTAACTTTCATCGCACAATTATAGCAACCTTTTGGTCTCACAATGTACATAAAATTTCAAAACAAAATTCTTCTAAACATTGTCATGAATGTTAGAATACAGTATAAACACTAGCAGAGCTTGACCAATTTCTTTGAAGGGGCAAAAATAGTTAAGTAATATACTCAAAGTTTTATGTTATACATAATTTCAGTTGCAAATTCTACAGTAGACCACTTTGGTAGAGAAAGTTCATGACAATGACCTGATTGATATAAATTCCAAAATATAAGGGGAAATGAAAACAAGTATCTCAAAATTCAACTCATGTTTGTTTTGTTTTGTGTCAAACTGATAGAGACCCGAGTATGAGAGATATAGGAAAAGGACTATTATTGTAATAAAGAGTGTGGGTAGGCTGCTTAGTTGGCAAGTTTGTTATGCCTCTTAGTAGTATATAGAGTGAGGCGAGGGAGTGTGAGATTATTATGGAAGATTATAGTTTGTTATGGACAGTTGGCTTTGTGCCGCTGTAGGAGCTTTGTTCCGTGGCATTAGGATATTCATCCTCTTGCATTTACCTTTTATTTTCAGAAATAATACACTACTTTTCCATATTTGTGCATTTTACTCCATTTCTTCTATATTCTGTAAGTTGCGGAATTTCAGGTTCGCAACACAAACTGTCACCGATTGGACCACTGTCAATTCTTAAAAACAAGGGTGACATTGAACTTCTATTTCCAAGGGGTGCCTATGGGAGGCAAGCGGGCATGCCCGCCCCGCAAAAGTCCGCAAAAAATGAGGCGGGACGGGGCAGTCATAGTTGAAGGTGCGGGCCTAAAATCTTGGTCCGTCCCGCAAAAAAATGAGGGTGGACTTGCAAACATTGTACCTTTTAAGCCTAAAATTCCAAAAAATCATGTTTGTGCCCGCGCCCGCAAAAAAAGGGGACGGGGCAGGCAGGCAAGAGGGTATGGGCCTAAAACCTTGATCCGCCCCACAAATAAGTGCAAACAAATTGGGCATGCCCGACGGGCCGGGCCCGTTTTGCCATCCCTCATTAGTATCTAAAGTGATTTTTGAACATATGTTCACCATAGAATCCGCTAATTTCTTTTTGTTTTAACAGCAAAATATATTAAATGCAATGCAATAACTCGAACCAAAGCACAAGATGTACCCTAGAACTCACTCTGACTGGAAAATAAAGACAAAACTAGTCCCAGTAGACAGAAAGTACGGGTCAGGTTATAAAGTATGGGTCATATTGTTAACCATTGAATACTGGGCATGGTGGTAAAAATCAAGGTATCTTAACAAGTATAGCATACTGGTATAAATTATATATTTTTCCAACTCCAATAGGCGAATTAATCTTAAACCATTGCTCATCACATCATATGACTCGGGTGCCAGAAAAATTGATAAAAATATATCTAGAGAGAATTAGGCACGTTCCCTGTCCTTTATTGTTAGGAGAAAAGAAAGAAAAGGAGATTTTAAAACAAAATGATTATGACACGGGTATAAACAAAGCAAATACTAAAGTACCTGCAAGTCATATGGTAGCAGCCTTCAGCAAGTTCAATCATATGGCTACACTTCACACACTGTCTCCAGAGACTCCTTGATGCCAGAGACTTCAACCTAATATCTTCTGCTGGAGAATTAGGATTCAACCTTTTGTAAGTATAACATGTCATACCACTATGCCAAGGGACCTTGCAGCCGAAACAGAAAAGACCATGACATTTCACGCATTTCTTGGGTAATGAATGTTCAGAGCCCATAAGACTTTGAGAGTAATCTAAAACTTCACTTTTTGACATTAATGCAGAGCATCTTGGATAAGGACAGTAGATTTTCTCAGTAGGCGGAATTGAAGCTTCCAATTTTCGTTGCTGCATGGTTTCAACTAACTTAGAAGTCAAGAATTTCCGGCAACTCTCAATTAGAAGTTCATTCTTGCATCCATCGTGAGGGCACTTTGGCACCATTCCATGAAGCAACTTCACCTCCACATATTGCTTCATGCAAGAAAAGCAATACCTGTGTTGACAGTCATCAACTGAAAAAATTTGACTAGGATCAGTATCCTCCATACAAATGACACAAGTTTCATTCAGACTGTTTAAACTGCTAGATTCAGCAGGCCTATTGGACTGAGAATCAATTGCATCTCTTGCGAGCTTTAATGCAAACTTCAGATCATTTCTCGCCACAAGCCTTGGACTGCAGTATTCAAATTTTCTTTGGAGTAGATTCACCTGATTAACTAACGTAGCAATCTTCCGCTGTCTTGCAGGCCATTTTCCACTTAACTGAGCAGTAAAACAAGATGTTAAAAACCTCCACACAAAAATCAACAATATCACATGGTAACCGATTCCCATCATCTTAAATTCACACATCAAACAAAGTACAATTCAAGCAACATGACATTCCAAGGACACATGACACCTAACTCATCACTAATCATTATAAAATTTCAAAAACTACAGTTTCTATTGACAATAAACTCTCCTAGAAGTGTAACCAAATTTTCTAACGAAATCAAGCAAGCCAAATTAAAACAAAAACAGCCCTAAAATGGTTGAAAACCCTAGGCCCAATTGTCACATATTATGAAAGTGGCATTGAGTCAGAGTTGAAGAAGCCAAAAGGGGCCAGAAAGGAGCAAGCTTGCCCTGTCTCCAATGACTTTGAGTTGAGTCACACCATTGATGATGGACTCATACAGATTGGTCAAAATCAATTCAGCTAAACAGAGAGGGTAGCCATGGTGATGCTGTGTTGCAAGCGTAAGCATCTTCTTAGTCACTTGAAGTGACTTAGTACAGAAGACGAAGCGAGATAGCCACATAGCTAAGAAGGCTATATGTTCCATCTCCGACACAGTGTTGCAAGATTTATCATGAAAGTGATTGATGAATGTGGTATATGTGGGCTTCGTGGCTGAAAATCCAATGGCATCCTCAGATAAATCTTTTGGGTCGAAGTAATCACCAGTCGGTCGAAGACCGGTAATTGCTGCTATATCAAAAAGGGTCGGGGTCACCATTCCACAATGAAGATGAAGATGAAACGTGAAATGGGTGTTGTCCCAGAAGTATAATGAAGACACTAACATGAGAGGGCAGTAAGATAACTCTGTCTTCGACAGCATCACCAGGTCATAGATCCACATTTCTTTCCAGATTGAGGTTTGTACCTTCTCCATTTTGTTCAGCCAGTCTGAATATTCTGAAGAAAGGCTAGGGCACAATCGAAAGATCCTATTCCCTTTATTCATGAACTGAAGATTAATATCTTCCTTCGTCTGAGCAAGTTGTTGATTGACTGGGGTCGCATCCTCAGGATCATTCCTGGGTTTCTTTGCACAGCCTATAGGCTTAAGCCTAGGGTGAGTCGGGAAGAAAGCACGATTTTTTGTGGGATTTTCGATGCATGCAGACAAAGGGCCAGACATGGCATATATATCCTCAGAATACCTGATGGGATGAGGAGCTGGGAGTTGTACGCTTCACGCCTTTCTTTGGTCATAGGTTCGGAGACGAACCTTAGCCCCTCAATCGAAGCAGGAGGAGAACTTGTGGGAAAAATCTCCGGTTGACATTGTACGTCAGAAACATTCTTGGGCTTAGAGTTGTTTGGAGCATTGGAGAGGAAGACCATTGTTATGAGTTGGTGAAAAACGAAGATGATAGAGTCACTACGGTGTAAGGTATTTTTCTGCAGAAGAAATGAAGAATGCTAAGTGTTGTGAAAGTTCCAAAAGAGAGAGCTCAAGGCTATTTATAGTGTCCAGAGAGAAGTGTTTTTCGTCAAGGTCATTTAATGCTATAGACGTAGTGGGGCACGTAGCAAGCAGTAAAGCAGTTACCGTGCAGGATATGGAGAACGTTTGACATGCTTGCCTAGGTTCTAGGAGTAATGGTCATCATGGCAGCATGGTAACAGCTGATTGAAAAGACGTCTTGGGAAAAGAGTAATGATGATTCTAAGTGTGGCAGCAGTTGGAAGGTGAAAAGTACACGTTAAGCCTTTGTGGACAAAAGAGAGAGGTGTCGAATAGGAATTTCAAAGAATGACTATTTCTCTCGACGTCGAAATAGACATTCTTGGGGGTAATTTGTAAAAAACTTAAAGAAATATCTGAGTTACAAATTGGTCTTCGACCAGACATCACCATCAAGCCTTCGACTAGAAGAACAACCCTCGTGTCAGCATCAAAGACGAAGGATAATTGAATTTGAAGAAGGGAGGGAAATGCAATTCGCCTAGCAGTTAAGGGAAAGCGACGTGGCAACATAGAGATCGAGGGGCATGCAGAGGACACTTGTCTTCATCCTAGAGCAAGGCAACCCCTCGACAATTACATAATTTTAGTATAAATTTTAGTATAAAGATAGGAAGTTTGTGTAGATTTTCCGAGTGTTCAACCTATTGTACTAGTCACTCAACATTATTCAAGTACCCGCTGTGTTAAAGAATAACTGAAAATGTACGTTGGAAACACCACCTTTTATTCATAAAATCTCTTACATTGTTTTGATCTTCTTTTGCAAAGTTTATGTTTACTGCATTTTATCTGCATTTCTATTTGCTTTCCAAAACCACAAACATCATCTCTCCGGTCTAACGTGTGTTCTTTCTAGATATTAACTTTTACATCAAACCAGCACAAAAATTAGCATCTGGGATCAATCTGATCGATCCCACGAGTAACCAAAAAGGCTTTCCTTTTTGGAGGATCAGCGGTTGTTTACCAAAAACCACGGTAAACAGTACCTTTGGGCCAATTGAATGAAGGCAGGGAAATTAAATGAGCATAGTTGTAGTCATTAGCGGTAGAATCTAGATAATATTCTTCTCTCTCTATGCGTATCCATAATAGCAACTTTCACACCAGAACTTTGCTGAGCCAACCACTTGTTTTCATCAAATATTTGTAACCATCCAATTTTCTTTTGTCAATCTTTTTTCATAAAATTGAAATATATCAATTTTCTTATTTAACATGAATAGCATATAAGAGAGGTTATTAAGAAAGATCTCGAGATTAATGATTTGGATAGAAGCATGATCTTGATAGAACATTATGGCGAAAATTGATCCATGTAGCCGACCCCACCTAGTGGGATAAGGCTTAGTTGTTCTTGTTGTAACATGTATAGCATATAGTTTTGCATATGCCACTCACTTCTACTTAACTATCACGTATCACTGACCATGCATATTATTATTCATTCACTCAGATTCTACTCTGAATACAAAAAATGTGACTTCCAATTCACATTTTGAATGTCAATTTATGATTAACATGCCCTATAAATTATCAGCATACTCACATTCCATTCTTCTTCCAAACAACAGCACATAACATTGTGTTAAACTATAAGCCTATAACACTAAAATCTATTTTATACTTAAACTAGGGTTCATGTTCATGCATAATGCATAGTGAATACCATCTTTATCAACAAACAGTTAGAGAGTAAGAGAGACTCACAAATTGGAAAAGTGGATGGTAATCCCCAAAATAAACAACACGCTTCAAATCCAAAGCAATAACAGCATTGAAAGCTTCAATCAAAGCCTTAAGCTCCGCAGCAATTTTACTAGTTCCATTCCCAACCAAAGATTTCGAAACTTCAAATATCAAACTATCAGTCAAATCACAAACCGCAACACCAATCCCAGCCAACAAAACTCTCTCACCTCTCACAGTCTCTTCACGCACTAAACCCTTAAAATAAACCCTAACAACCGCACCTTCATCGATACCACCACTCTTCAACCCCGACGAACTCGAACTCCCCTCGCCGAACGGTTTCTCGAAATTATCGCCCCATTCATCCCAATCCTCTTCCGGAAAGTTAAAAATCTCCGACGCCATTTTCTGATCATGAATCAGACGGTTGAGATCAACCTTCGCCTCGCGCATTACTCTCTCGCTCTGTTCTCTATCGTTCATCTCGATTTCCATTCTAGCGAGCTCTTCCAATTGCAGAGACGGTGCTTTGAAAACGTCGCCATCGTCGAGGGGAGGTTCTACGAGCATAGCGTCCATGGAGGAGGAGGGATGATCGGTGAGGGAAGCGGCGAGGGCTTCCTGTAGCTGGAGATGGAAGGCGAAGTCGAGATCGGATTCCATGGATTCCGCCGCCGTGAGTTCGCGGCGTTGCGCTGTTAATAAGAAGTGTAAGTCTTCCGTTGAGTCCATGGAGTGTGACTGTTCTGATTCGAGCCATAGCAATTGTGTGTTATAGATAGCTTTCCAAAAGGATTTAAGCCCAAAATAAATAAATAAAAAATAGAAACTATAGTCTATATAGAGAAATTTCATATTTTCTTTTTATAAGAAAAAAAGAAAAAAAAAAAAAAAAAAAAAAAAAAGTAGAATTACAAGTTTTGATCATTATAATTTTTTTTCTTCTTTTTTTAGGCATAATAATGTTGTTCACTAATTATGATTTTGATAATTATTATAATGATATATTGATGTATTTTAAATTATAATTTGTCAAATAACTTTATTAAAACTAAAAACAAAGTTGTATAAATAAATATTTATTTGTAAAGAAGGAGGTCATATAGAGGTATGTAGATTCAAATTGCGACCAAATCATTTTGCATTTACACATTTAATTATCCTTTTGATACGATGATTCTATTTTAAAATTCATAATTTTGATTTTTTTTTTTTAAAAGTGCAATCAAGATCAAATCATTGATAAATACTTGATATCGTATTGATAAATACTTGATATCGTTATTGCATTAAAATTTCAATTTCGAAATATGTATTATGTAACATAAATAAAAGATCATTCTCTATTTTATAATAATTTTTAGGAGAAAATTTATATATAATTTTTTAAGTGTTATTTTTATTATTTTCTAATAAAAATATGATAAATGTATTTAAATATTATTTCAAGAATAAAAATATGAGAAAATTATATATGTATAAAAAGAAATTGTAAATTTAATAAAAACTATGCATAAATAATCATATTTAAGTTTTTTCTTAATTTTTATACTTGAAAAATAAATATTATTTTTCAATTAAAAAAAGGAAATTTTATTTAGAAAAAAAATTGCCACTTTAATTTTTGATAAAACTTTAATAACTTATTTTTCTATTGTACTCTTATTTGTTTCATTTCAAAATATGGGTTTTTAATTGAAATGAAATTATAATTTATTTATATTTAAAATTAAATATATTTTTATCACCCTATTTTAATATCTTAAAGTTTTAATCTTTCATTTTAATTTTTTTTTTGTGCTTTTATTTAACAGCTTTTGGAATTTTGTTGATCACTACCATTTTTACAAAGATAACATTGGAGTTGCATTAATGAGTATGATAAAAATGAAATGATATTTTTAATCAATTTACATGTGATATGTTTTACAATTTAATCATTTTGAATCAAAGTGTAACAGAATTTTTATAAGTGATAATTCAGTAGGATTCTTTAATATTTATTTAATTTGTTTATTTTTATTTTTTATTTTTTATTTTTTATTTTTTTACTTTTTTATATTAATTTTTTATTGATTTTTTTTAGGTTTTTACAAATTATTTTTTATAAAATTATATTTTTAAATTAAATATATTTTTATCACCCTATTTTAATATCTTAAAGTTTTAATCTTTCATTTTAATTTTTTTTATGCTTTTATTTAACAATTTTTAGAATTTTGTTGATCTCTACCATTTTTACAAAGATAACATTGATGTTCCATTAATGAGTATGATAAAAATGAAAGGATATTATTAATCAATTTACATGTGATATGTTTTACAATTTAATTACTTTGAGTCAAAGTGTAACAGAATTTTTATAAGTGCAGTTCAGTAGGATTTTTTTAATTTTTAATTGTCATGTGAAACTCTTTAATATTTGCTTAGTTTTTTTTGTATTTTTTTTTTACTTTTTTATTTTATTTTTTATTTTTTATTTATTTTTTATATTAACTTTTTTATTGTCTTTTTTTATTTTATGTTTTTACAAATTATTTTTTTATAAATTGATTGTTTATAAAGGTATGCAGAGATAAAAAATTAGACGTATAGTAAACATACCACTCGTCTCGCATAACAAAGTTAACCTGCATTTTCTTGCCCCCAGACTACATTTGCGTGTATTCAATTTCGTCCACCATGCCAACGATGTCCGCATAATTTTATCGTAAAATGAGACTTCATAATGATATTCAACAAAGCAATGAATTAAAATAGAGTACATAGTTATTACCTACCAATACATCATTTTTCCATTTACCAGTAATAATATTACTGAATGAAATAGTTTCAATATTTTTTTTAGGAATTGAATGTTTGTATTCCCAACAGTGGCTTCTCCAGTAAATTTTAAAACATACTTGTGTTTGGAAGACTTGAAGACAACTTCGTTGAGCAAAACCTGAAATTTTAATATAGTGACGGTATCGTTAACAACTATCTGAGAATCAAATATCTGGCTATATAGTGGAGGAACAACGACATGGATATCAGTTCCCTGAAAATAACATAAACAATTATTTTCAATCAACATTGGGGTTGTTCTGAATATTTGAAATACATTAGACCAAACAATACCATAAACACAAACACCATGAAGTACCACATACTGCATCTAAAGGAGTTGAATGCAAAATCAATAAAACAAATAACAGATAAGTTAAAGAAGCTGAGCCAAACATTTTCCCAAAATCAAAATATCTAAACAAATTAATGACCGTATAAGTTAACTGTAACTATGAGTTTAATGAGTAACAATCAATGCCTAGATCGTATACAATAACTAACGATATTATAAATACATCTTAAAATTTAGTATCAATTATGAAATCACCTCTTTATCTACTACAATCATCTCAAAGTTTTTTTTTGGTGTTGGAGATGACATTCCATTTATGGTGAATCTTTACTGCGATTTTCCAGAGTTCCTTTTTATCGCAAATGTCCTTGACAAATTCAAAGGGTCTAGCCATTGAAGAAACAAACAAATAACATACAAATTACCTACAAACAAAGAACAACATACTGATTGTAAGATTGTTTGTAAGACATTTCACACACAAAAAAATAGAAATCAATCGCGGTTTGAATATTAATAAGAAGCTCTGTAACTTACACAAAAGATGACTATGCAATCTAAGGCTGAATGCATGTTGATTTATAGAGAAAAGAATAAAGTGAATCGTTTGAAAGATGAAATGAAAACCAAACCTTGATAATGACAGAAGTTAGGTGTATACCAGAACAAGCAACTCTGAAACTTAATAGATTGATATAGATTAAAACAAAAGGCATTATGACAGCATGAGAAAATGAGAAAATTCATCCAATCAAATTAATTCTTTATGAAAGACATTGATTATATTGGACCAATGGTATGAAGACAAAAATAACCATAATAAAAACAAAAAATAATCTCTTTTTACAAAAGCACAAAAATGAGCTTTCAACAACTTATGTCATAATGCATTTTGTCTGGATCTATATCAATTTCTGAATTGCTTGTTTTGGTATACATATTATCAAATAAACCACCATTCGCACCCTACAAAATTTTCTCTCTCTCGGCTAAAGCTACAGAATTAAAAAACTCTTCCATTTCTCTTCCTCTACTCAATTTCTTCACTTTAAAGCTTAGAAAATTTGGTATGATTTCTTTCTCTCGTGTTAGAGATATAACTCCTACCCATCACTTGATTTTATATCTTATGATATTACATTAAAAATAGTAACTTAGAGTGTGAAAGAAAATGATAATAAATTATTCTTGTAATTGAGAAGCTTGAGACTTATCATTATTTTCTTGAAAAACAAAACCATTCATGGAATGTGAGTATTAATTTGAGAGAGATATGGAGAAAAGTTTCTAAAATGCCATGTGTAAAAACTTTTTATTTTAAAAATAAATTGTTGATTTAAGGATGTGTGTGTTGGGGGTGTACTTACCGTTAGCAAAAACGTTTTGACAGAAAGAGAATTTCTAAAGAACTAAGTATTGTTATTTGACAATTATAATTATAATTGTGTTTTCTATTATTGGCTTAGTACGAAGTAAAAAGAAAACTAAATTTTAAGTGTAAGAGATTATGTTTAGAACGTATCCTAATTTTACCATATTAAGGTCAGTTTATTTCAACTTTGATTTTATTTATATTTTGAAAAAATTATTTTGTTATGGTTTTAATTTAAATTGAGATTAATTAAATATAAACATGTGTGATTATATATATATATATATATATATATATATATATATATATATATATATATATATATATATATATATATATATATATATATATATATATATATATATATATATATATGTTTGCTTGCTTTACATTATGGTTTCTTGTTTGAGCTTGTTTTGATCCTCTACCCAGATCTGAGGCACCTTTTTAGGTAAGTAGCAATAAGTTATGAAAACTGTGCGTGGTATACCAACGTGGTCAAAGCAATAGCTACGTTAGTGTGACACATTTGTTGGTACCGGTAGCTCTTGAGTAGTCAAGAAGAATACAGGGCCGATGTGTGGTGTCATGAAGCACTAACTGACTTTAGAACCTTACTTGAACAACTTGACCATTGGGAAGTAGTGAGGTAGCCGACTTTGGTGCAGTCTGAAGTTGGTTGATACTTGATACTACGCTCATTGAGATTAGACTTTCGGGATATTTCGGTCACCAATAAAGAGGCTTGCGCTGAAACAATACCCGATGAAGAAATATCAATGATATTGAGATTCCCTAGAACCCGCTTACTTTCTAGGACAGGTTGAACCAACTAAAATTCAAGAGCGTACTTACCTATGAACCTCATGCAAGCCTAAACCTAAGGACTTGTTTGATTGACTTGTGCATATACTTGTACATAACATCATGGCATCATACCATATCATTTTAGACTAACCATTTTAAGGATCTTGAGATTTATCTTTGTTCTATTTTGCAGGATCGCAGGAATACAATCCAAGTCAATCTCGTACGAGTACCTTTTCAGCTCAAAGAATTAGCATCAAGGGTCCCTGAGAATTCTCCGTTCACTAAAGACATGGACGACTTCTCAACCTGGTTACCTCAAGCTTTGATGAAGATATGATGAATGTGCTTTTCTAGTTCTTCGATCCTTTGCACCATTGCTTTACCTTCCCAGATTACCAACTTGTGCCTACTATGGAAGAATTCTCTCAA